TTGTGTATATATATATATATATATATGCACTGCTCACAGCAATTAAAGGTTATTGATGTTGTGGGTTGATCTTGCACCTGGAGAATTATTTGAATGATTGATACATTATCGACAGATGTAGTAGGTTATATAAGATAAAAATGACATTTGTTTGGCAGGAAAAAAAAGGAGTTTTATTGGGCATTTGGGTACAAAAGGAAAAAAACAGCGTTTTTGCAAATGAGTAAAACAAATTAAAAAAAAGTTGTTTCTTTAAAAGAAGAGCTCTTTCCAGTTCTTGGAGAGTTTTTTTTTATAACCGTCGTTGAAAAGACGACCCAATTTTTTGGGTTTACGACTAGTAATGTTCATTTCCGTAGCCTTGTATTTTTGAACCTATTCCAGAAGACAAGAGAACTTCCTGGATCAAGTATTGGGAGAAATTTGCCCTCGTGGAGGACTTTTTGATGGAACTAACCCGCATTTGCGTTACATGGAAAGGAAGACTACGAGAACCACCCACGGTTAGCCTGACGGCAAGGGGACTCTTACTCATGATCAGTCTACCACTGCGGATATTTCACGTCAGCACTATGGTCGATGCAAGCCGGATGCGGAATTCGTATTGACTAGGATTCGAACTCGTTTCGCTCCATTGGAAAGCCAGCGCTCTATCCCGTCAGCCATCGCGGCTCTTCTTGGAGAGTTTGTGGAGTTGGTAGGCGTCCAGCAATTCGCCTGCCTAAAACATGCTTGATTGGGTTCATGTCTGGAGAACATGCTGGCCTATCCATGGTATGATCCCTTCCTCCAAAAGGAAATCATTCACCAAATTGGCACGATGTCGCCTGCAATTATCGTCCATTAACATAAAGTCATCCCCAATTCCTGCAGCGTAAAGGACTAGTAGGTATAAAGGAGAAATAGGTTTCAGGATCTCCTCTCAATATCTCAGTTAGAGTTCCATTTCGAATGGAGATTGGTGCACCCATCAATGGAGTTGTCAGCATAGACCGTCTCTCCTCCACCTCCAAATCTTACATTTTCGTGCACGAACGCAGGATTGTTTCTAGTGCCACGTTCTCTCCAAATGAAAATACGCCTATTATGAGGACGGACAGAAAAACTGGACTCGTCAGAGAAAGGAACATTGCGCTATTAATTTCTCCTCCAGTTCCCATGCTTTGTTGCCCACTCCCTGCTTGCTTGACGGTGCCTTACTGTTAACTTAACACGCACCATTGGTCGGCGAACATAAAGACCTACAGAGTGGAGGTGGTTTCGGTCAGTTAGTATCGAAACTGTAGTACCAGTAACAGAGCGAAGGTGCTGTTGCAGAAAAGTTGCATTTATATTTCGGTGTCTCCAAGCCGTTGGCGTTAAATAAAGATCTTTATAGGGCGTTGTACTTCCTTATCCTGATCTTCAGCCTGCTTTTCCAAAAAATTTGCTTATACCGTAATTTTATACAAGACTTACTATATCCTTTAATTGTTTTGGGCAGTATATATATGTAAAGCCGTAATAATTTCGAAAGTGTTTTTTTAAAATTATTATTTTGGAGAAACCGATATATACATACGTAAAAAAAACTTAATACCAAACACATTATCTAACCTCAATTTTTTTTAACCAAACATAAGCTGGTTAGAGGTACTGACATTTTAACTCTCTGACTCAGAATTTTTATCAAACATATTTTTCATACTCTTTTCATTATTTTGTATTAATTTAGGTCAAAATATGTGAAAATATTATATTTAGCATTTTAATAATTTTATGGTTATGAAACACAACATGAAACACTTGTGTCTTTTTCAGCATTAAAAGCAAAATCATCCAAACGCGGCTCTCTTCCAAACAATGATTTTTTAAATTTGTACTTATTTGCATTTATTTATAACCTGAAAGAAACAGTTATTCATCACTGGAATTTCTAAAGTTTACAAATTTCCAGTACTTTTCATCAAAATTTCAACTACTTTTTTTCACAATTTTTTCAGAATACTGTTTTTGGATTTTATATTTTAGTAAAAAATAATTCCTAGCAGAAAATCTAGCAGATTTTTTTAGTAACTATTAGACTGTTTTTTATAATTGAAAAATACCAAAATATATTTTCGCTTGTAATTTGAGCGTCTGCCAGAAAAATATACAAAAAAGACGCTAGTGTCCCATTTGCGTCAAAGGGTTAAAACTAAAATACACTTTTTATCATAAAATTAGTTGAAATAGTGTTTTCTTTTGTTTATATAATTCAGATTAAAGTATAATCATCGAGATATCTTAAGATCGTATAATTTAAAATGCATTTATTACTTAAATTTTAAGTGGTTAGTTTAAAACGTTAACTGCATTAACAAACTGTCACATGAATTTAATATGATGTAAACGAACTAAATAGCATGATTCATATTCTGCTTTTAACCAGTCCCAACTGTATTGATATAGGATTACAAGATTCAAAGGAAAATAAAATTTTTGAAAATTGGTTCCATACTAAAATGTAGAAAGGTGTGGGGTTTTCAGAAAAACTTCTCATATTATTTCCTGAAAACCGTCTCCTTTTTTTCTAAATCAGGATAAAAACTTTAATGATACAGGCAGGGCATGATTTAAATCATGATTAAGGTAGGTAGGTATATTATTTACGTCGTACTAGAGCTGCACTATAGGCTATTGGCGACGGTCTGGGAAACATCCCTGAGGATGATCCGATGACATGACATCGCAATTTTGATCCTGTGCAGAGGGGAGGGCTCCTCTGCTTTGGTAGCCTGACGACCTGCGCGCGAAGTTGAGAACTTTACGGTTGAACAGTTTAACGAGGACCGATACCGCGCTCCCTCGGCTCCTACGCTGGCTGATCAAGGTGGTCACCCACCCGCTTACTGACCGCATACAGTGATGCTTGACTTCGGTTTTCTACTGGGAAAAAAATTGCGATTTAAGTTACTTTATTTTTTTAATTATCATTGATTTAAATAAACTGTGATTTTTTTAAATTAAATCACTGTTTTAAACCCATTTACTTTTTTAATAAATCATTAAGTCGAAAATACTTTTATGATTATATTCTTTAGGGTATGATTCTCTTTAAACTCTGATTTCATTGATAATGAAGGTTTTCTCTGAAGGAACAATGAAATGGTAAATTATTTTAAAATAGACTAATAAATAAATCAAATAATAAACTAAAAGCGGATAAGAGTAATGTTAAACTGTTAAGTTATAATTTTCCATTAGTTTCATGTAAAAAGAAAAAAGAAACTATTTACCGAGACTTAACGTATTTCAACTATCCCATTTAGTTTTATGTTATTTTTTGAATACTTTAAGTGCTTGTAAAACATGCAAACACTTAAACATGTAAACACATTAGTGTTTACCAATATTGATAAAGTACTTGTTCTGCCCAGAGAAACTGGCAGTAATTTTTTTCTTCTTTTAATGAATTCTGATCTAACTTATTTTACTCTTCATTGGATATTTGTCTAATTGCCTCACATTGGTGATAAATTTCTAATAATTAAAAATATAATATTTAAAACATTTGAGTTCGAATTATCAGCTATTTTAGCTATATTATTGTTTTTAAATAATACTGTTTATAAGTTTTAATCACATGATTTGGCTATTAAAGATAAACAAAAAAATTTTTAAATAAATTTAAAAAAATCTGATTTTAATGTAATAAATTTAAATTTCTCGATTTTTCTTTAAAGAAAACCATGAATTTTGCCAACTATGGTTACAGGTAAATACTAAAAGCCGCACATTAGCTAGGAAGATCAGTTGCTCTTAAGTTATGTATATTCAATTTATAATCTGTTTTAGGCATTTTTTTAAGGTAGGTAGGTACTTTATTTGCGTCACCCTAGAGCTGCGCAATGTGCGTTTGGCGATGGTCTGGATCCGAAGACATGCCATCGCAATTTTTATCCTCTGCTTTGGTAGCCCGACCACTTGCGCGCGAAGACGAGCTCTTTACGGTAGAATAGTTGAGCGAGGACCGATGCCGCACACTCTCTGTCCCTACGCAGGCAGATCAAAGTGGTCTCCCTACCGCTTACTGACCGCTGCCAGTGATACTTGACTTCGGTGTTCTACTGGGAGCCGTGTCTTTACGATCTGCGGAAGATTTTGTGGATAAATACTTAAACTAATTTATAAACAGTTTATTATTACTTTACCTGTTGTGATTTAGCTCATCTGAATCCAAGGGTTTAACCATAACTTTCACTGTGGGTGCTGGATTTATTAGAGGTTTGCTGGTGCTTCGAACTTGCATATAAAGAGGCACTCTTCCAGTAGTACTGACCTCAATACCAGAGTTTTCCGTAGATGAGTACTTAGCCTTATTATCTGAAAAATGTTTTCTATCTTAACAATATTGTAATAAATGTTTTTTTTTAAAAAAATTGTCAAAAATATACAGGAGTTTCCAAAAAGTCTAAACCTCTGACGCTTATGGAGTCAAAAATTTCAAAGCTCACTTGTGATTTATTTTCAACAGATGCATTTTATACTATCGAACTCGACCCAAAACCTTTCCTCTTGGAGTTGTACTAAAACTTTAAAATTTAAAGTAGGAATCCCTTTTATTTTATTGCAGATTTGGATTCTCCAGAAAATAAGTATCAGACAGATTTTTGTTTCGCAGATGGCTCTGTATTTGCAAAATTAAAATGGGATACAGATTGCTCAAAATAGAGATATCTGCAAAAAAATCACAACAGATCGCAAAAATAAAATTAGAAATGTTTGATGTTTCAAAAAAGAACTATAATAACACCAAACTTGACCTCCGCAATCTTAGAATTACCCCATTCTTGTAGTACAGCCTCCCTTTGAAAAAATGCCACTTTTTTTATGAAAAAGTAGTGGTTTATTGTCTTATAATAATAAAGATGTTTTACATAGTTTATTTATTTTCTCATTTTTGTAAAATAAAATACTAATGTTTTTAAACAACAGTTAACACTAGAAAGACTGAACATTGTTGCTCACTACTTAGATATATTGAAGGAGCCAGTTCAGACCTTTCCCTGATTGTTTGTGTGTATCAGGCATCCAAAATCTTAAATTAAAATTAATTTAATTAAAACCTATTATAGACTCGATCAGCTAAATTTTATGGTATTTTATTCGATTTTGTTAACGAAAATATTTGATTTGAAGGAACACTGACTTTTCAATGCATAGACTGATACATTAGTTTCTCAAATAATTGAGTTTCCTTTTTCCTATAAATAATTATAAATATATTTTTAATATTTTTGTTTTTAATTCCACTATGTTTCATTACATTATGTTTTTACTTTTGTTTATAACTTACTGAAATCTTGATGACTGTCTTGATTGTTTCTTGAATTTGGTTTATAATGAAACTGTTTTCGTGTGTCTTCGAAAGTATCTTCAACGCTGTTGCCAATTTCTCCTTTGTTGGATGGAATAACTTTATTTTTATTCGATACGATTGTATGATAATTCTTATTGCTGTTTGTCGGAGGTCTTTTTTCATGGCTGAATCTTTCTTCCATCGTTCTATCTTTAGGACCTGAAAGGCATCGGAAAAATGAGAAAACGCATATAGTTATAAATTTGCCATCAATTTTGACCCCTTTAGGACCATGGTCACATTTATGCGATTATCTTATAATTTCACAATTTTATTATTGTGAAATTTGATTATTGATTATCTTATAATTTCACAGTTTTAAGTATTTATTTCATTCACATTTAAAACTAAAATGAGATATTTTCTTGTAAAGTTCGTCACCTGCTGTGGACGGTTGCAAGCTTTCAACAGTTCTGTCTTCATCGATTCGTGGGACACCAGGTGGCAGTGGCTTCACTGTGATGAATATATCTGCTTTTGAAGATCCAGATGAGCACGTGTATTTTCCACTGTCCTTTAGGTTGATCCTTCTGATTCTCAGAGCCCCTTTCATGGACACTTTTAAACGTTTGGTAGATTTAATCTGAAAACAAAATTACCAATTTCAATTTTTAATCCTAAGGCATAAAATACGACTCGTATTACTATGAAGATTTTTTTATGCCCGCATCTAATAAAAAACATCAGACATCATTAATTCTCAATAAATTATTTCACATACGTGCAATAAAAATTATTGGTGTTACTTGGGAAAGGTTATCGACTTGGTTTTATGCCTTAAAGTTTCAAATGAATATTTACTTAGAACGTCACTATATGGCGGTAGATTTTAACTATCGTGATTGTGGACATTATTTACAAGTCTCACATATAAAATGCAAGTGGGTCTAGGTGTTATCCTTTGACGTAAAATTTTTATTAAGCATATTTTCCATACTTTTTTCATTATCTTGTATTAATTTATGTCAAGATTAATTAAGCTATAAATTAGGTAAAATCTTCTAAACAATGATTTTTTTAAATTTGCACTAATTTACAGTTATTTAGATCTAAGAGAAATAGTTATTCATCATTACAATTTCTTTTATTTACAAAATTAATTATTGATAAATTGTTGAATGTAAATAAAATAAAAAATTTGAAACTACTTCTTATGGATTTTATATTTTAGTACAAATATAATACCGATGACTAAATAGAATTTTTTAGTAACTATTAGACTGTTTTTTATAATTAAAAAATACCAAAATATTTTTTTGTTTGTAATTAGAATTTTAAAAAATATATAAAAAGGACACCGGTTTCCCATCTGCGTCATAAGGTTAAGAAGCTTTCAAACTCACGAGGCGAGTTTGAAAGGAAGAACGTTACAATAGAGCTACAGCTCGTTAAATCTAAGTGAGATTATCAAAAGTTAAAGCTTAATAAAACAAAAAAATATTAGTAAATGTATAAAACGGCATACTTCTTTTAACCTTTTATTTACATAAATTAGAAAGTTTTTTTGTCTTTTGACTTTCGAAAATCATTTATTGGACAACAACATATGCATAGCACGAAACACATTATCAGAAACTATGAATGGTTCTGGAAAAGTTTGCATTCTCTCACGGCTAATCAAAGAATAGTTTGCGGTGATCTATCTCATTAGATCCGAGTTATGTTCGTAATATTAGGGCTTTGCGTAAGTATTTTAACATTGAATTAATTAATTAAATATTTCCACCTTATACCCGAAATCTCGTCATATCAGGACAATTAATAAACGAGCTCAATAAATTTTAAATCACCTGTGCATCATCCTTAAGCCACTGAATGTTCGTCTTGTTGCCATTTTTACTGGGGCATCGGATTTTGAGGTTCGTTTCAGCAAAAACAACCGCTCTTCCACCCACTTTGAGAAAAACTCTTCGCTGAGGATGTTGTTGAATGTAGCTACCGTGAGATGGAACAATGTCTACACCCTCTGGACATGGTTTAGTGTTGCAAGTTTTTTGGGTTTTTGGACGATGCTTGGTGCACTGTGATGGAGCTAATTCTACAACTTGTCCAAAGGCTTTTTCCTTCATACAACGTATCTTACGTATTTTTACACCTCCTCCACAACTTCTGGAGCACTGAATGAGAAGAAGAAAGAACGTATCTTAATAAATGGGATAGATTCGTTTAATTTTACACACAAGTTGAAATATTAGAAACAAGTAAATGTATTTTTCAAATCATTCATTCATTCTTCCTATTATCGTTAAAAATATAAGGCAAAATTGGGAAATTTTGTCTCATGGCCAATGGTTGGTTGTAGGATTTTTAACAGTGGTCACTTTTAAAAACATGTAGTTACTCTTTTCTAAAATATAAAATCTTTAAACGATTTTTAAAAAAACTGTTGATAATGATGCTCAAATTCAGAGCTTTTTTATTCGGTTTGGTTACCATACATCTAAATTGATAATAAAAAAACTTATAAAACTAACGTTGCACGTCCATATATCAAAAATGCTCCGAGTTCTTTTATTAGGTTTAATTACCATACGTCTAATATGATAATAAAAAAGAAGACCTATAAAACTAGCATTGCACGTCCATACATAAAAAAAAATGTGGAAATCCAAGCTCATTCACTCAGTTTGGTTACTATACATCTAAATTGATAATAAAAAAAGAAGATCAATCAGGCTAACATTGCACGTCCATACATAGAAAATGATCAAATTCAAAGTTCTTTTCATTCGGTTTGGTTACCATACATCTAAATTGTTAATAAAAAAAGTCCTATAAAACTAACAAAGCACATACATACGTAAGAAAAGGCTCAAATTCAAAACTTTTTCATTTGGTTTAATTACCAAATACCTAAATTAATTACATAAAAATAGTTAGAAAATTCCATTACATACATAATGCATGAAAAAAAGGCTTGAATTCTAGGCTCTATCGTTCAGTTTGATTATAAATATCTCAAGAGTTTCTTAAACTGTGGATCACGATCCCAAATGGGGTCTCAGAACCTGCTGCAGGGCTCCCCCAAAATTTTTAACAATTTTGATATTAATTTAATTTATCATTATAGTTTTTACAATCACAAAATACTTTTACAGAATGTATCCGAATATTCCCAAGTAATTTAACTTATTTATTATTATTATATTTTTAAATTTGTAATTTTTATTTAAAATTTCACAATGTTCTATGTCAGTGTTTCCCAAACTTATTACTTTTGTGTACCCTTTCTAAATTTTTCGTAGCGCTGTGTACCATTAATAAAAAAATGAATATGTTTTTTGCTATAAAAAAATTGCACAAAAGTTAAAAATCACAACTGGCTGTTGACACCACGAATTGCTAACTATTAACATTTCAAAACATAGCCAATAGAAAAATACGTAATCGTAAATTTTTATGGCAAGCTTTGTAAATAAAATTTATAAAATTTTCATTTGTTGTAAGATATTTCGTATAAGAGAGCGTACCCCCGCTAAACTGTCCCCTCGGGGTACGTTACCACACTTTGGGAAACACTGTTCTATGTCAAAATTAAAATTAAAGCCATAAAACAGCAATTACAGTACAAGTGAAGAAACTAACAGTTTAACTAAATTGCACTGACCAGTTCACTGACAACAGTGCGAAACTGGACAGTTTCGCAGGTGTTTGATTTGCGCAATGCTCATGGGGTTCCACAAAATTTACGTAAACATTGTGGGGTCTCTATTCCAAAGAGCTTAAGAAACCCTGATCTGAATAGATAATAATGAAAAAGATCTAGTTAGCTTAACACAATGTCTAGTTATTATACAGAAAAAAAAAAGCTCAAATTCAAAGCTGTATCTTAAACGATTTTCAAGTTTTACCTTTGACCAAGGATCCGTTTTCCATTGGGATGGACACTCGAACACATTGCAAAATTGCTTTTCTAAGGGCGGCGGCTGAGGGCAGTTGCTGTCTTCGACAACAAGAGTGTTGGCCGCTCCCCTTAGAACTTCGTGAAGGCACTGTACTTTCCTGGNGTGAACCAGGTTCGAATCCCAGCGTTGGCTGGTCGATTCGAATTCCACTTCCAGTTCGCACCGATCACAGTTTTAACGTAAAATATTCTCAGTGATGAACAGAACTAGGGTTAGGATCACTTTGCCGTTGAGCGTACCACCAGGGCCGGATTAAGCGTAAGCGGGGCCCTAGTCCATTCAAATTTTTGGGGCCCTTAGATTAATTTTTTTTCTCGTATACTTTTTATTTATTCAAATATAAAAGTATTTATCTATCGTTTCCTTTAAGAAAGCATTTTTAAAATTAAAATAAATAATAATAAATTAAATTTTACTTAATTTTATTAAATTAGAACTAAAAAATAATCATAACATTTTGAAAAATCATTGTTTTTCTTAATTTTTTTAAATTTATTTTCGAAAAATCCATTTTAAAGGGGGCCCTAGGCCATGGCCTAGTCTGCCCTAATGGGTAATCCAGCCCTGCTTACCAACGGGTAATTTTCTCGAAATGTAACGCAAACTGGGGTTTATTCCATCGACAAGTTCTCCATGAAGGCAATGCATTACCCAAGAGTTCCCCTTTTCTTCTGAGTGGGGTTCGAAATTACAAGGCAACGGAGTTTAATTTCAATAGCCGTGAACCCAAAATTTTATTAAAATTAAAAATGAAAGAACGCACGTAAAAATTTTGCATGATATAATTTTTAATTAAATATGTAAAGAGTAGTAGCGTATTCACTGATGCAAATGATTCCCTAAGTACCACCATAACCAATATGCTTCTGCGCGTTTTGATGTTTAAATATATTATTTCGTATGAATTAATAGTTGATTAATTATTGACTATTTGATAAATATTTATTTATTGTTGACTACTTAATGAATAATTATTAATTGATTATTGTTTTAAGATCAAACTTTTCGCAAATCAGAGATTCCTGAATATTCCCCCGTAAGTATACTTTAAAATTTAATTTAGTAGTATAAACGTGTTGAGGTGTGTATTAAGTCCTAGCGATTTCAAAAATTTCTGATGGTTAATGAAATGCAGTTATTATTATTCAATGCTGACATTTCATATGGAATCAGGTTGCAGTTAAGTATTGAGCGGGTAAATGTGTATTACGTTTTGTTTACATTACGCAATTACGTATCATTTTCGATTTATACGAACTACATCGATAAAAATTAAAATTGTATACCTTGATAATGAGAAAAGCTATGGTTTTTTTTCAAATTTAATTATAAATATAAAAGTAAACTCACTTGGGAGGGCACGGATGGTCGTTACAGGTTTGTGTTATTGCGTCTGGTTTTTTTGTAATGTCACACTGAGTCGCTTTCACTACAGCTTGATCATGGTCTCGGATGCACTGAATAACTGATTCTCTAGTACCTAAGAACCAAGAAAATTGTTTAAACATATTACATTGCATATTAACATATATTTATACTAAGTAGTATTTTAATGCGTGCATGCATTTAAACAACAAAAAAGTTTGCAGGGAGACAGGTACTTTATGTTGAAATTCAACAAAGTATTTTACTGTAAGAAATAAATGCTCTAATTTCATGAAAATTCCTTCGTTTTTGACGAAACCGTTACAATGGAATATGCTCAGAGCAAAACTTTTGTCAAAATGACGAAATTACTTCTTCGAGGAAACAAATTTCGTTCTGTTTTTTTTTCTCCATAAAAAAACAACTTCGTAATGTATCAAACTTTTCTAATAATCAGTTATCGCGGGCACTAACAGGGGTCTGTCCAGACATTTTGTGAAAGGTCCGTTTTTGTAAAATTGTGAAAAAATTACTCGCAATTCGTGAATATAAAATAAACGTTAAGTCACATTCTTTCTACCAGGGTCCGCTTTTGTGAATTTGTGCAAATAGAGTCCTGTTATTGCAAAAACACTTTTTCAATGAGTTTTTAAATTGTAATGACATACAAGATTATGCTCAGCACTGTAGAATTATAATTAAAAAAAATTAATTTTAAAAAATAAACAGCAATTGCTGCTACTAAATTAGAGATGCAACATTCAAATATTTGGTATTTAGCCTATACTGCTGAAAGCAGAATATTCATTTCGGACAAATAAAGGAAGAAGCTTCTGCCAAAGACAAAACTTAGTTCGTTTGCATTTGTCTTTCCCCCCCTTCTTTCCTGGGAAGGGTTTATTCGATTAACAAAACGATAACGAAGATAAACAAATTTGTGAAGGGTCCAATTAAAAGATAAATTATTGTATGCAGGGTCTGTTTTTAGGTTAAAATATTTTGTGAAGGGTCCGTTAACGGACCCAAATTTCTTCTAAACAGACCCCTGACTACATAGATAAATCGATGTCGCCCAAACAACACAAGTACAGATAGAACAGCGAGATAATAATAGAATATTTAAGGTTGCAACGAATTTGGAACAATAATATGGTCAACAGTCTCCAAAATTTTAAACACTAATAAAAAACTTCACATTTAGACAAAAAATTTCTTCAAAGTTATAACAAACAATGGACTCAAAAGAAAAAAAAACGCCATTATTTCTAGAACAAAATTTAAAAACTGCAAATACAAAAAAAATTTCTGTGTCAGTCCTTTTAAAAAAGAAAAGGTTATGGGAAGAAAAAAAAAACTCATCCATCACTTTTACTCCAAATACATTTAGTTTGATTTTTTTTTTATAATTATAGCTTCAGTTAATAGTTACAACTAATTGATTATAGCAAACTAATCATTTAATAGATGAAGTAAGAATCTGTTCTTATCTCCTTTTTTTTTATTATCTCCGATAACACTCTTCATTTTATAAAGAGCAACGGAATAACTAAGTGGTAAAATTTGGAACAGTTTCAAGAAAGATAGAACAGTGTAATTTAATGTATAGTTTTTATTAGCGCTTGACGAAAATTAATTATACTTAGAATACTTGTCTTAAATGCAGTTAATAGGTACTAAATTTCGGTTTGTTAATGAATAATGACCCTATTTCGAATTAATTTTTAAAAAAATTTCTATCATGTATTTCGATTCGAAACTTAAATATAATTTTCGCGCTTGGACATGGAATGTTATGAAACGTCATAGTATAATGAAGTTTCATTATGTTCGAAATCAAATGAAAAGGTTTATAAAAGCAATGTTTATTCATCAATTTTTAGTATGTGTATTTTCTTGTAGTTACGTATTTTTTTCTAACTGTTTCGTTGACATGTAACTTATAACGTCTATTCATGATGATGCAATTGTAATATAACTATTAAAAAAAGGTTTATGTAGTGTAATGTAAAACAGTTATAAAAAAACATCTTGTACTGTTATTTTTGTATTAGAAATATACAAAAAAAATCATATACTGAAGTTTCATTACGTTCTGAAGCAAATTAAAGGTTTATTAAAGAATATTTCATTCATTAACTTTTGGTATGTTTATTTCCTCGAAGTTTCTTTTTTAAAATAGTTTCGTTGATATGTAATTTAAAACGTCTATTCGTAATGATGCAATTGTTATATAATTAAAAACACTTGTTTATGTAGTGTAATGTAAAAATGTCATAAAAAAACATCTTGTACTCTTATTTTCGTATAAGAAATATACAAAAAAAAAATCGTATACTGAAGTTTAATTATGTTCCAACACAAATCAAAAGTTTATTAAAGAATATTTTATTCATTAACTTTCGGTATGTTTATTTCCTCGAAGTTTCTTTTTTAAAATAGTTTCGTTGATATATAGTTTAAAACGTCTACATAATGATGCAATTGCTATACAATTAAAAACACATGTTTATGTAGTCTAAGGTAATACAATTTAAAAATACAATATCGTCTACTGTTGTTTTCGTGTTAGAAATAAACAAAACATCGTATAACGAAATTTCCTTACGTCCTAATATAAATTAAAGGAATGAATTATTCATTAATTTTTACTCATTAATATATTTCCACGAAGTTAGGTATATTCTTTTCAAATAGTTTCGTTAACATACAGTTTAAAACGTCTATTGATAAAGATGCAATTGCTATGCAATTAAAAAAAAAACATGTTTATGTCACTTTTTACTAGAATTTGACGTTTCAACTTATGTAAATTTTAACTTACTGCTGACGTAAATAATACGTAAAAAAAAACTTAATAATTTCAACTTTGTAAAAAGTGCTTGGTAAAATATACGAAAGGAAGAACGAATTTGTTTACGTATATATTTAAATGTTTTGTTTTTCGGAAAACCACTTTCTGCTATTATTTGACGTTTCAACTTCCGTAAATTCTGACGTACTGTTGACGTAAATAATATGTAAAAATAACGTACTCATTCTCACCAAGTAAAAAGTGATTTTAAAATATTCGCAAAATAAACAAATTTGTTTGAGCATATATTTACGTAAATTTTCCGTTTTTTGTTATCATTTTCGGAATGATTCGACATTCAAACTTCCGTAAATTTTGATGTGAATAATATGTAAAAATAACATGCTCATTCTTACTTAGTAAAAAGTGGTTTATAATATATTCGCTAAATAAAAAAAGTTTGCTTACGTATATTTTTTACGCGAGTTTTGCTTTTTTTGGATAACAATTTTTTGATATATTTCGGCGTATCAGCATTTATTTTGAGGTACTTCTGACGTAAATATGCAACAATTTTTGCCTTGTAAAAAGTGGGTTATAATGTATTCGCAAAATAAACAAATTTATTTACGTCAATTTTTATTTTCATTTTTTGAATAACCATTTTTTTCTATGATTCGTTGACGTAAACTTTACGATTGCTTAGTAAAAGTCAAAGGTAAACCATGCGTATTTTCGACGTAAAATTGATGGATCTCTGTTACATGAATTCAAATCATCCTAAATGAAAACGGAACAAGAATATTTATTGTTTCTGGTCAATGTATATGTTACCGCAAAAGCTCGAAAGCCGTTCCTATGCACATTACTTAGATAACCTTCAAATTAGCTAGAGTGATCGTTAAAGTGCGGAATCAAAAGTCTTCCGCGATTCATCAAGGTAAGGCGCACATTAACTGTATCTGTATCGTTGCTAACAAATTTCATTTTAAATCTGTAAATCTCAAAATCTGTCTGTCTCAATCTGTAAATCTTTCATCTGTAAATCTCATTCCAACAACTAATTTGTCTATTATTTGATTGTATTGACTTGATTCTTTAAATATTGAAAAGCAAATAAATGACATTATGATAATTTTCTTAATTGTAATAATATTTTAAACCGTTCGATTCTTAGTATTATAGTTTTTAAAGTGATTTATGATTCTCTCAATTGATGTGTTGATTGTTTGTTTATAGTAACTTGAGGTTTTAGATAAACTTAATAACATTATGTTAAATTAGGAGTACAGAGACGTTGCTGCTGTTCCAATAAAAATCTTATTTTCACTTAAACGAATGCCTGGAAGATAATATATGCAGATTATCTATGTAGTTTGCAAATTACCTAGATAATTTGAGAAATGAATATATTTTTCGGCACTTTAAAAGATAACCCTGCTTAATCTGCACATTGGCTAGACAATCTAAAGAATAATTCATTACTACGCTATGGCGGTAACATATACATTCAAAATATCAAATATAAATAGCATATAATAGTTTATTTAATATTATTTGGCCAATAGTAAAAATGTTACTGTTTTGGAAAAAGGTAGAACTCATGTAAAAAATGCAAAGCCTCTTGTCTCTTTAAACATATGTAGTACCCTGTGCTTAATTATAGTAATGTTATTGAAAATGACGTTTTATCTGGTCAAAAGATATGGCTTTATAACGACATGTTTTTAACCATTTTTATGCTTTAGTAAAGTTATGAGAAAAATGGTAAAGTTTACTTTCACCTTTTGCCAAGATTACTAACTATTCAGCAATTCCTTACACAAAAATGTCTTCTTGGGTTTTATTTTTATTTTATTCCCAAAGAAATGTTTAAAATTGAAAACTGGAAAACGAACGCCTTAGAAACTTCACCATATATAGAATGGTTTTCTCAAAAAACTCTGCTTCTTTTCTCACATTTAAACATTATTTTTGATTAAAATAGAGCATGTAAAAAATTTGGTCTACAAAATAGTTATTGAGCGATATTCTACGCTTTACATACTTGAATTATAATTCTTATACTACAAAATATGTATGGAGGAAGCTTTAATTTCTTTAAGCATTCCACAGCAGCTTTAAAGAAATATTCCCAATTATCGTCTGCTTCATGTTTATTAATATCGTCTTTATATTATCGTTTGCTTTTTATTGCTCATTTTGCAACCAGTTGAGTTATCAGGAATAAAAATTTTATTTATTTTATAAATAACTGGTGAGAAAAGTAAGAATGCTTCTTTTAGAATGCCGGTGGGAAATTTTGAATGGTAAGTTGATCCATGTATATTTTATTAGTCAAGTAGTTTTTCTGAGAAGGAGTTCAAATTTAATTCGCTGATCACGTATTTACGACTCAAATTAACCAAATGATGGCACTGAAGAAGTTCGCAGCTCTGTGTAACAACACTTTTTTTGCAAAATGCGAAAGTAATAGAGACTGAACTACAGTATTTTGTAAAAGTGGTGTAAACACATTATAAAAAAAGAATAAATATTACATTTTATATGCTTGCATTTTGCTTAAGGTAAAATAAAAGTTTTTGGAGATTTATTATAGATTCTTTATTTGTATTCTCTAGAAGTCTTTCACCATGATTACGAAAATTTACGAAGCTGTTTACAGTTTATATATTACTTTAAAAGAAAAGATTTGTATTAATGTGAGTTTATTTATAAATTTTTCTCATCTGTCTATCTCTTCTATCTTGATATTTAATATTTTTCCAGTTAGCGTCATTTTTATGTAATTAATGTTTACAAAAACATGCATAATTTTTGAAATATATAAATTTTCATATTTATTAAACTTTTAATGAAACGGGGGATACGTTTGTATCTATTTTCAATGTTTTCTTAAATATACACTCCTGTTATTAACATTTTACAAAAACATCTTCTCGGTAAGAAATAAAATCAACAAACGTTTGATTCTATTATAAAAATTATAACTAATTCTGACTTTTTTTCCCCAAAAAAAGTGAGACAGTTTCCCCTTGGCATGGGGTAGAATTGTGCCAAGATACTAACATTCAAAAATTGGTGGGTTAATAAAGTAAAACTCCGAAAAAAATTTAAATGTACTTTTAAAAGAGATTTCTGTTAAAAACTGGTGTTAGTGGTCATTTGTTTCACTATTTCAATATAAATATCAGTAACATGCTAAAGTTAACTTTATTTTATCCGTAACAAAGAATGATTAAAAATATGTTCTATTGTTCCTAAATAATTTTTAATTTTATCAAGAACAATGAATTATTCAAAAAATGTTCTATTGTTCCTAAATAATTTTTATTTTTACCAAGAAAAATAGATGATTAAAAAAAATAATTCAAGAAATGTATTATTGTTTCCAGAAAATTAAAAAAAATTTTTAAAGAAAACGGATGATTCAAAAAGTGTATTATTGTTAAACAATTTTTAATTTTTATCAAGAATGAGGATGATTTATGAAATGTATTATTGTCTCTAAGCAATTTTAAATTTTATCAAGGACAAAGAATGATTCAAAAATGGTCTTTTGTTCAATTTTAGTTTTTTTAAAAAAATTTCCTCTGAACAATTTTTTATTTTACCAAGAACATCGAATGATTCAAATAATTTAATATTGTTTCTTAAGTATTTTTAATTTTGCCAAGACGAACGAATGATTCAAAAAAGGTATTATTTCTAAACTATTTTTAATATTGACCAAGAGCAAAGGATGATACAAAAATATTTTATTGTCTATACAATTTATTTTACAATTTGTCTATACAATTTTGTCCTCTAAACAATTTTTAATTTTACCTGAAATAACGAATGTAGCAAACAATGTATTATTGTTTCAAAACTAATGCTTTTGAAAAAATATTCAAACCTTTTTCTTAAAAAAAATCGTATATTTAATGAATAGTTTTTAAGCACGTTTTATTAACAAATATTAATAAATAAATTAATAAGTTTTTTTAAAAAAAAAAACTTTTTTTTCGTAAAAAAATATAGTCATTTAAGTTACCATTTGTTTCTAGAGAAATTACTTAATTCATTGTTTGTATTTACTGGAATGGTACAAGATATATGTATAGTGTGTATCTCAGTTCATGTAAATTAAAGAAGCAAAATATATTTTGAATTTATAAGATTAAGCAATATTTAAGTTGCCTAAATATAATATGGTACATTAATAATCTCCTGATATTTTTATTAAAATAAAACTACGGTGTTCGAAACTATTACAAGTCGTGAAATTATTCAATACTGCAAAATTTACACAGAAACACGTATAATGTTTTATTTAAATATATACTTATTTCGCTGTCAAAAGTTATAAAATTTCAGATAATTTAAAAGAAAAAGGTAAAAAGTTATACTTTAACTCAGCTGTAATTTTTCTTTATATGTTCTTTTAACTATCAGGAATTATGCTAATTAGGGAAATTTCTATTTTCAAATTCGAATTATTCTTTTTGGATTTGAGCTAATGCATGAAAATCTGATTAAATCGAAAAATACATATGGTGTTCAGAATTTCTTTTCTTTAATTGTACATTTCATTTTCTAATTAAGTAACTAATTAACATTTACTTCTAGTTAATGAATAAATGTTTTTAACCCAAATAAGCCAATAGTATAGTGTTTTTTAACTGAAATGGTAGTTATTATCTTAAACTAAAACTAGTAATTCTTAACTTGAGTGTATTATTTATTAAACCTTTCCAAATATATACATGAATTATTGAAAGCAATATTCCCAGAGTACGATTGTTTATCATCTCTGCATATGATTTATATTCAATATTTAACTGCAGCATATAGAATTTAAATCATTATGATTTCACTAATTTTAATTCAGTGCACGAATATTAAGGTATTATGATTTAAATAGACAGTGATTAAAATAAAGAGAAATTGACTTGAATCGCTTTACTTTAAAATGTAGACCATGCGTGTAAGACCAGAGACATGACACGCATTGTGGTGTTTTAAATGATGTTGTCTCATCTTCTATCTGCGAGTCTTAAGTGATACACTCTCTTGAACGAAGGGAAAAAAGGGAATTTAAAGTAGGGAAAAAGCTTCAGTGATTGGCTGTTGCCTTGGCGATTTAATTAAACGCTAAGATCTCAACCTCGTAAATTTTCGTGACTGTTATTCTTCATTTGTCGGGACTTAATTCCCTTTTATTTACTAGAAACAAGAGGATTTAAGTTTTTTAAGAGATAACTTGAAGAATTTTAAATAGATTTGATAGTTTACAGTAAAAAATCAACGGGCAATTTGGATCGCTTTTATTAAAGCTGAAAAAAGAATATTTTTTATTCCAAGGAAGGTGAAAAAAATTGTTTTTTAGTAGTGAATCCGTGAAGTTTTTTAGAATATTTCTTAAAAGAAAACTTCCTAGAAATTGCATGTATTACATCGTAAATGTATTTCTTTCACTATTTTATTCTCTTTAAAAAAAACTCAAAGAATTACCTAATTGCAATAGCAAACGATTTTATAGAAATAAAAAAAAATGAAAAAGATTTATAAGAAGCATTTTTTTCGCTAAAGAATTTTTTTGAAAAAATCTAACAAGATAGCTCAAGCCATATGTAAAACATTTTTTTTCTCCACAATAACTAAAAGATTTACTTTTATAAGAAAAAAAATTCCTACCATAAATTAAAACTAATAACAAAATAAATAGATTCACGAACTGGTCAAATAGTTTATTAAGAATGAAGAATATTTTTAGTTCATTAATGTAACATAAGGAAGTAAGAGATTTAAAATATGCTATTAATTTTTATGTAACATACGTTTAATTCACTTCGTATAATCAGTAAAAACATCAAAATGTCACAGTTTTATTAATGTACTCTGAAATTTAAATTTCCAAAAAGAAAGAAAAATAGCTTTTCTACAATTCTTCTATTCCAGATTTCATTTAAATGAAACTATTCGAATTCCCAGTTTTCGTAACAAAATTTTAATATTGTGTGATTCATTACTTATTATATTTGAATTTCCATATTTCGTTTATATTTTTATATTACGTTTTTATTTTACGTTTTAAACTAGTATTCAATTTATATTACCTCAATTTTTATGATTGACTTGTTTGTCTCACAACACTTATAAATCTAAATATCTAAAGTTATTATGATTATATCAAAATTATTTGATATTAGAGAGATTCAGCGCGTTCACGTGTGTAAGTTCAGCGGAGCGTGAGTACTTGCACAGAACTCAGGGGCCATTCAGAGTGTCTATGAAAAGAATCGAAAATGCGAATTCGGAGATGCAAACGGGAACCTGATAGGCAAGTTTTTCTAGGGTAAATATATTCCACCAATCAGGTTCTCATTCGCACCTACGAATTCCCATTCGCAATTTTTTCGCATGTAGTGTAAATGGTCCTTTTACGTACGTAAAAATGCGGGAAGATGTGATTCCATCCAACACAGTCACACTACATAGATGGTATGAACACATTTTAGTTGATTACACCATGTAGATGTATCCTTCTTCACATTAAAATATTTGTTTGGGTTGTGTACTTAGGAAGGGCATTCTAAGTAGTTTTCCATGAAAATTTTTGAATACGTACTGTAAGGGTGGTGTTTGTGAATACCTTGTCATAAACTTACCTCCTAGGCATGAAGCACTACATGGTGTGAACCCATTCGATCGCCAAGAATATGTTACTTCTATTCCAACATAGTGGCCTTTAAGTTTTTTTCGATCCTCTGGCCTTACTGAATCAAAAGAACAAGGTCTCGGATAGCAGCTTTCTAGTCCAGGTGGCTTTGTGCCTGAAAGGGAATTTAAATCCACATATAACATTTCGATAGGAAAAATAAAGTTGTTATGCATGTAAGAGTCAATCAATAGATTCATCAATCTTTCTTTTAATTTTTTTTTTTATTTAAGCGATTGAAAACTCCTCATGCACCACAAAGTATAGCATGAGGCTTACAGAAGTAAGTAGAAAACAAAAACAAGAAAATTTACATTAAAAACAAAATTCCGCAAGGCAGTAAGACTTTCAATACTTTTGACCAGTTCTGGAAGAAAAACAGGAGGCCAACAAATAGAAAAACGCCTCAAATCAGTCTTTAATTCAATTCGGGCACTCGCATACAGATTGCAAATGAAGAAGAATATGCTTCATCAGCATCGCCGTAAGCACAAATTCCACTGGTCACCAGATGGAAACGAAATGACTATCTCTTAAACTTTCCATGGTTTGTTAAAATTTGGGTTAATTTAAAATCAGTTGACAAGAATTTGCATTGCAAACGGTAAAAAATGGATGGAAAGAACCTTTTTGTTCAAAGCGACCCAGACGAAGCAAGAAAGTTCATCAATCTTATTTATCTATCAAAAAAAAAATCGGATATAGCGTGTTCTAAATTAGACTGACCGTTTTCAAAAATTTATTCTAACAGTAAAAAAAAATTTTAATAAAAATTTTGCAGCAAAATTATATGACGAGGCATGATTTTTTTTTCTCTTAGCATTTCTAGTTTCAGTACAAAAATGTTCCAACAGATGGCACTTCAAGTCACTTTTACTGTTCTATCTTACCCTCCAAATATGATGCGTGATTGGCATTTTTATTGGCGGATGGCCTCTCTGAAATATTGCTACTTTATTTAAATTTGAAATTGTGGTGAGATTTTCAATTATTTTTCTTTGACTTACAGGTCAACTATTTGCAGCGACATCTGGCGAAATATTACTGAACTGAAACCAAAAATCGCAGGAAGAAAAATTTATATCTTGTCATTTAAATTTGCTGCAAGAATTATTTTTTATCCTTAACCGTTTTCATGTTATAAATTTTTGAAAACCATCAGTTTAATTTAAGACACTCTGTATCTTATCAATAAGTTACAAGATCTTATTTATCAAAAACCTCATACATTTAATCTATGTATTAAGAAAGCTCATATATCTTAACTACTGAGAAAGTTCATGCTTTTATCTATCAAGAAAGCTCAAATATCTTTGAAAATATGCTAAAAGAGAGTATATAAATTATAACACCAGAGTATGTAAATTAAATTGAATTAAGATAAATACGCTTAAGATATCGTTATATACGGCTAAGATACGATTAAGATATCTGGATATCTTAAGCAGAATTTTCCACAATATGAAAAATTACATAACGCATCTTCTTCGAAACCAAATAAATAAACAGTACAAATAAAATTTGTTAGTAGCTCATATAATGATTACGAAATTTTTTTTTATTTAAGTTGAATGTCAACGAACTTTCTAAACAATTTTTTTTAACAAAATTAAAATTGAAACAAAATATAGTAAGGTTAAAAAAATATTTCATTGATGAAATATTTTTTTTTCAATTGAGATAAATTTGGGTCTTGCAATTTCCGAACTTTCTGTGACGCCACGGATTTTGAATGCTTGTTAAAAATAAATCTAAATACTAACAGCAACATATATGAAGTATCATTAGCCAATTTGATAAATTATTATAATTTTGGAACAAATATAACTCTCACTCTTTATGAATCTGGCAGTAAGAAATTGAAGGGTTTTTTTTTAGCTTTTTGTTAACAGCATTTAATTTATTTGAATACTGGGTTAAAATAAATATTATGTTAAAATTACATGTGGCTTAATTTTCTAATATACTACATTTAGTTGTAAAAATGACACTGATGACAGCTGTTCAGAATATTAACTATTAGCTTCACCGAAAATTAAGATTTAAAAAAAAAAATTCTAGTGAACTCAAAAATATTGTAAACTTTTTTCACTTTTGAAAAATTTGAATACATGGTTTTTCTTAAATATCTCAATTAAGTATTTTAATTTTGATAACATATTTTGAGTTAGTTCTGCTATTGAGATTTAAAGAAATTTGATTGCATTTGATTTAAGTCAATCAGAAACAATTCATATAAATGGGCAGAAATCGTTATTGTTGTTTGTAATGCCACTTGCCATAGCAGCAAGCTTGTTTGGGGAAACTAAAGGAATTTAATAGCAGAGGAGTACGTATCTTGTTCTTCAGTGGCGCTATATATGGCCAAAAATACGTCTTCCGCCACACACACACATTACAGCCCGTTTCGACCCATTCATACATTCATTCATCCACAGATCGTAATTTTGACCTGAACCAGTAAACGATCAATTTCCAATTCAGTATTCCCAGAGGTTTGATTTGTTATGGGAACTTGGAAGACTTTTTGATTCGACAGATGTCCCATACACCATTTACTATACGCGAAATCTTCGGCTGGCGAGATCGCACTCACGACCTCTTGGACATGGGCCCAACGCCCTACCAAACAGGCTATCCCTGCTTTCTGAAATCGTTTGTATAGTTATTGAGGTTCCGTCATTGAGATTTTCGTTTTAGACAAAATGCGATAAACCAGAATAAAAAATTCACTTATATTTTGAATTTTAATAACAAGGAAGGATTTAAACTTAAATTTGGCAAACTTGTTTAGAAATATGTACTTGTATAGAACAAACTTTTACTTTATTTTTTTCAAAAAAGTTGAAACGAATGTAATTTACACAAACACACCAGTTTCTTCTAACATTATAATTAATGAAATACATCAATAGTTAGTTCTCGATTACGGATTTTATAATAGTTAAGAGCATAAAACTGAAGAATGCAAATAAAATGTTTGGCCAATCTTCTGATACTTGAAGTTATTACTCGTTGCAAAAAGTTGCTAGAATTGCAGAAATTTACAAAAATTTTCATCATAAAATAAACTTGTAATATATTAAAAGCATAGCTTATCCTTATGTCAATATTTTAGTGTGCAACTAAGTTATATGCATTAATGCTGCAAAATGTTAAAAGTTAACTCTGTATCAACAAAAAGTACAGCTTGTCACTGTGAAGTTATTTTTTCTTCATGCAACATAATCGCATGTAAATATTTTATGAAGTTAAGATTACTAACACGAATTTCATGCAAAATCTCATTTAAGTTAAATAAAAAAACTTGAATTATTTTAGCTGCTGTCTGTGCATAGCGTAATAAATAAAACTTAATAAACTCTGAATCTATTTAAACATTCATAAAACAGTCAAAGACATTGAAGCATAAAACTATAGGTATGAAATTCAGCTAATTTATAAAAACATTTTATGTTATCTTACAAATATTCTTGCATTCGACGTTGTTCAAAACCATGAAGAGAAAGAAAAAAAATATAGATAGTTTATATTAAACTGTAAAAATATCCAATTTTATTAGAAAATGTAAAAAATTCATCGCAAATGATTTCGCAAAAGTAAGTTTAAAAATATATCGTATATACATCAAATAATGCAATACATTTATTTGATATAGTTTACAATATTTTATAACTTGAAAAAAAATCTGACACTTCAGAATACTTCAAGTATTCTCTTCAGAATTAACAAAGCAATGAATTAAAAATTCCCGTTTTATCAGAAATAATTTTTTTAAAGAAAATGTAATTTCTCTGAAAATACACTTGAACATAAATCTGAACAGTTCTTTTAATTTCTGCTTTTATCAATATAAAGCCTATTTCGCTCCTTCTAAATAAAAAAAATTAGGTTTTTATGCTCCACACATTGTTAAATAGACTAAAAATCAAACGATTTGCTTAATTTTGGTAAAATTTAAAATACAAACTAAATATAATTTGCATACAACAAGTAGCTATAAATAAATCAATGTATTGATCATAAATAAATAAAACAAGCATAAAATCACATGTTAGAATCATATCTTTCAAGAGAATTTTTATTCTTTAACGAACATTAAAAAAAAAGAACTACAACTTTAACTTAAGCGAACAAATGTTTAACTAAATCCTTTCAACCTACTTCAAGAATTCTTTCAAAAGCCCGAATTTTCTTTCTGACACAGTAAGAAGTACGCATCTTTTAATTTAAGCCATCAAGTTATGATGTATTAATGCTTCACCAAGCACTTAGGTATGTTTTCAGAAAAGGTTATGTCAAAAATATATTTCGAGCACTTGAAGAACAAAGTGGTCGAGAAGTCGTGGAAAGAAAAGGTTTTTCAGTAGCGGCTTCTTAAAAAGCAAACGATTCTATTGGAATACGCAAAAGCAAATCTCTTTTATAAAAGTCGGCAAAGTTGAAGATGTTAAGTTTCTTTCAACTTTTGTGTTTCTGTTTCAGAAGAGTACGACAGAGAGGACATAAAAGCAAAATATTAAATAATTGATCTCTCTCCATTGAATAAGATTAAAATATTATCGTAAGATTTCAATAAATGAATTTTCTGAATACATTTTTTAGGTTTTTGTATTTTTCTGAAGTGAATATCTAGCTTCGGGAAAAATTTTGTTTTTGATTTGAAGTTTGAATAATTTTCATAATTGAAGTTTTACCGTTTATGGAACATCCGTCGATATATGTTTATTTAAGATTCAAATTGTTTGAAACTGTATCAAAAGATTGAATTTACTTTTTATAAAAATGTTACGCATGCATAAAGTGTATTATTTTTTTACTCTTTGGTACAGAAATAAATATATGTTTTTCTTTTGAGAATCATTAAATGTGGCATAACATTGATACGCATTCTCGTGTTTTTATTAAACTGCTGAATAAAAGTTAGAGAAGATTTTGGATAGGAAAATTAAAATTATTAACAAACAGTTGAAATAGTTCAACTGTTTTTAGATCTGCTCTTAGACAATCGAGTAAAACAGAATTTTTAAATTAATTGTTCATAATATTAGTTTCTTGAACAAATAATACCAGATTAAAAATTCTTTCATTAATGCTAAAATCGTATTCACAAAG